TGCATTTCTTAGTCAGAAGTGGGAGAATCATAGTAACCAATTATATAAGACAAATGTCTCTTTTTTTCTGTTTGCAAATTTTTTGCGATAATTATTTTCTTCAGCTGTATTCATGATGCACTTCACAAATAATTTTTTAGGTTGCTTGTAGTTCGTGAGATATCAGTTTTTGAAATTCCAGCTATTCTGATGAGGCACACAATGTGTATCCTAACTGGATAATCATAAATAATAGAATCACATTTCTAGAATAAATATTTATTACGAATTCAGAATTCTCCTTCTGAAAATATTCTAAAAACGTGCTTAAAAGTCAATATTTTGGCATATTTTTTTATAAACTTACTTGCTCATATGTTTGCAGAAAAGCACACACATTTAAAAAGTGTGAATAATTATGTATTGATTGTATTGTGGCATAGTATAAGCCAACTCTAATCACATTACCTGAGGTTAGAAATAAGGATTCAGTGGTGGCTTTGGCAGGAGATGGAACATTGGAAGGGAAGGAATGAGCATTCTCTCTCTCCCAGGGGTTTTGCTCGGTGATTCTTTTGCATCAAGTGCATCTGCTGGGCATTTTTCCCCCGGTCAGGTAGACAGTGACCTTGGGGTGTTTTTGCTTTTCTGTGAGTGTGGGTCACTTGCCAGGCTTATTTAGCTATGTCTTACTTAATCATTTCTCTAACTTTTCTGGGGCCTTGAGCATTGGTGCTCATTGGCCCCGTCTAGTCTCTGCCTGTTTCACTTAATAGTCTAGTATCTTTGGGCAGTAGTGCTTTGGTTTAATTTTGGTTGTTGACTTTAATGTGCAGATATTAGGCAGTGCTGGTGACCTGTGATGCACTGGAGGTCAGACTAGATGATCCGGTGGTTCTTTATGGCCTTAAATTCTATGACTATGTGGAGTTAGGTATCTAACGTTAATTGAGAGAGGTAAAAAATTATGGTCCCTAAATGTCACTGTTACTTATTAAGAGGAACAGGACAATTAACTGGGGGTGTTGAGCACAGTGCATATGAGGTTCCCAACACTTTTAGTTCCCCTTGAAATTAACAGGAGTGAAAGTTGCCCAGCACTTGGCAGGATTATGGCATTAGAGCTAATATTTCAGGCTGTTTGTCTGAAAACAGAGAGACAGTGCTACACTGATTGACATGCATAAGGATATCATCATAGCCAGAAGAATTAGAAACATTTTGCATCTTTATTTTAAATGAAAGCAGAAAATACTGGCCATACTAGCATTCTTCGAAATACCTTACAACTTCCATAGTGTGTGTTTCTAGTGCCCCGAGTCCGCCAATAGTAATTCTCTTTTTTGTAATGGTTGCACATGTGCATCACTAACTGATTTTGCATCACATTTTGGCAGTTGAAAGCTTCTGTTGCAGCTGAGTTGCTCTGAATTTGCCTTGTGAGCAAGAGGTAAAGGGTTCTGTGCCCATTAGTAGTCTTCTGAACTAATCAATTTCAGTCTCCCAATTTATAGTCATAGCAGTAATTAATTTCTTCTGTGCTGCATCACATGAGTTCACTAGGAAAGTAACTCCTTGCTTCATACAAAGAACCCTCTGGTTCAAGAGTAGGAGGGAGGATGAACATTTAGAAATACTGATTAATTGCTCCTTTGAATGGGAGAGCTGACTGCTGGAGAAAATTTAGACCAGCTTTTCATAAAGAGCTTTTGACACACACAGTTTCAAACTGAAAAGATGAAAGTGATGGAGTGCACACACAAAGCATCTTTTAAACTAAGAACTTTACTTTTATGCCAAGTGAGTTAATGGGAAACGTAATGGGTAGACAAAGTTACTAACTTTTATATGTGCTGTGTGTGTATGCATCGTAATACGTTGCATGTGTATTGTTTGATTCTTTTGTCCATATGCTTTATGATAGTATTCAATTACCTGACCACATACAACTTCTCAAATACTACACACACACACACTAGAAGTACACTATTAATGTTACAAATTGAAACACTTAAAAGGTAGGGAGTGTCAGAATGAAAGTTGCTCCTTCGTTGGCCTCCTCGATCAGTCCTAAGTATTATTCTCCAAACCACCCTCCCCCACTAGCTCCTTGTCCCACTCTTTTTGTCCAGCAAGTCCCAATTCTGTCCCCACACCTTGTCTACTCATGAGATCTATCACACCACATCCTTTGCTTTAACCTATTGGCTCCCAGTCTCCTTGCCTAGCTGGTCCCAGTTATTTTCCCCCTACTGCCAGTGGTCCTATTGTCTTCCCTTGGTTTCCTCTTCTCCCCAGGTTGGGGACACATAGCGATGATAGTTCATCAAAAGCTTGCAAAAATTTTCAACACCGGCAAAACAATTTGTTTCCCTAATCTTGATCTAAGCCACAGCTGAACTATTTTGGTTGAAATTTTCTACAAAAGTTTAGCTTGGAGCATACATCTGGTATAGAAACTTTAGCCCAAATAGATGAAGTTTGGAAAAGGTGTAAGTAACTGAAAACAGGATCCTATAGCGTGAAGTGTCAGGTATGGTTAATAATAGATAATGCAACCACCTTTGCCTACAATAAGGATTTTTTTTAAAGTTATGATCGGCTCACAGTTGAAGAAAGGTGACAAACTTAACTTCAGACTAACGTCTCTATTAGGGTCAAATTCTGAATAAGGTCCATTGGGTTAAAGCTTTTGTAACACCAACAGTTTGAAGAAATGTATAAGATTGAAATTTCATTAAAGTATCAATGGGAATTCAGTGCCAACTACAGGCAGTCCCCGAGTTACGCGGAATCCGACTTATGTCGGATCCGCACTTATGAACGGGGCCCTCTCCCTGGTCTCCAGCAGACCAGGGAGAGGAAGCAAAGCAGCAGAACATGCGGGCAGCGGGCAGCGGGCAGCCCAGACGTGTTTGGGCTGTCCGCTGCCCGCGTGCTCCGGGGCTTTGCTCTGATTTGCTCCCCTTCCCCCTGGTCTGCAGACCAGGAGGACGGGGAGCAAAGCGGCGGAACACGCGGGCGGCGGGCAGCCCAGATGCATCTGGTCTGTCTGCCG